TATGTGGAATAGCTCTATTATCAAAGATGAATTTGTTTGGATCGAGTTCAGAACTAGATTTAAATTCTGATTCTGAGGATGATTTATTGGATTATTGGAAATCATTATGACTTTTGTTTTTTTTTTAATAGAGCAATGTCTTTTTCTAAGGTCATATCTTTAACTTTTAATTCTTGAATAGTTAGTTTAATATGATGAATTTCATTTTGTAGATCTTGTAAGGTGACTTCTTTGTTAAAAATTTCATTCATAATATTTCGAAATTCACTAGGAGCATTTTTTAATCCAAATGGCATGACATTCCATTCGTAATGACCAAAATGGGTAGTAAAGGCAGTTTTATAACGATCATTAAGATGAATCTGTATTTGCCAAAATCCACTTTTTAGATCGAATTTACTAAAGATGACGATTTGACTAAGCCTTTTAATTAAATCCTTTTTATTAGGGATTAGATATCTGATCCATTCTAAAACTTTATTTAATGGTTTATAATTAATGACTAATCGGGGAACACCTCGCCCAAGTTTAGCATTTTTATTAATATAAAAAGCAGGGTAAGACCAAGGCGATTTATTTTTACTAATAATATTATTTTTTAATAATTCGTTAATCTCTTTTTTGCACATTTCCATTAATTCATTATTCATTTGGATAGGTCGAGACTTGAAAGGAATTTGTTTTTCATTAAAATTTTTAATACAAGGGAGTGTTACGACATGTTTTTTCCTATGCCAAAAAGCACTAGGTAAAGTAGAACAAACGGTATTTGCTAATTGGTTTTTAAATCCATCAATTTTGGATATTAGAATATGATTAGTTAATTAAGATTCAATTCGTTTGTAATTTACTTCTTCTTTGAGAAATTTGAATTCTTTGGTTAATCGATTAATAGATTGAGAAATTGAACATTTTTTCAATTGATTTAATTCTTTGATCTCTGGTGGAGATAGAAATTTAAAAGTGACAGTGTGACCAAAAGCTTGTGTAGTTATTCCTTTAGGAGTAGTAGTGAAAGGATATAATAAAAAGATCAATGGTGTACCTAAAATTACTTTATCAGTTAAGTTTCGAACTAACACAAAAGATGTTTTGAAACAAACATTATTTTGACAAATATGTACCTTTGGTAATTTATATTTGATATGCATTTAAATTCCATTAGCAGAACTTAATTGTTCAGTAGATTTATGATAATATTTGGTAGGAATTAATCCTTCTTGAATACAATTTAAATCAGCGCCAGCGTCAATTAATGTGATGACTTCTATTTCAAAATCATTAATAACTAATTTGACTTTCGAATGCCATTTCTGAATATTAATTTGATTAATTAGATTAAGGTGATTACTATCGTGATCACTATTATGTGGAATAGCTCTATTATTAAAGATGAATTTGTTTGGATCGAGTTCAGAACTAGATTTAAATTCTGATTCTAAGGATGATTTATTGGATTATTGGAAATCATTAAGACTTTTGTTTTTTTTTTAATAGAGCAATGTCTTTTTCTAAGGTCATATCTTTAACTTTTAATTCTTGAATAGTTAGTTTAATATGATGAATTTCATTTTGTAGATCTTGTAAGGTGACTTCTTTATGTTTTTCTTTTTTAAATCGGTCTAAAGTTTAGTTAAACTAATGATTGGTTTATCATGTTTAGGTTTCTTATCTTTATTGGTCAATAAATATTTCAACTTATTAGTATATTGTATTTTTAATTCAAGATTTTCTAATCTACCAATTAATTCAATGAGAGCAGTTTCTTCTTGTTGAGATTTACTACGAACATTGACTGTCTTACAACAAGTATCATTACATCCTAATTCAATTTCATTGTCAATACTATCAGTAGGGGAATAATAGGAAGAAGTATCATTGGAGGGAATATCATCGCCAGATAAATGACTAGATTGAACAGGAGTTTGATTTGGAGTAGTGACTAATTTAAATACGTCAAGTATTTGTTGTTAATTTTCATCAGTAATCTGTAATTGGTTAAGTTTAGCTTTAAGTTTTTCTTTTACTTTGCATTTATTGGAATAATGATCATTTTTTTCACAATTATAACAAGTAACATCTGATTTAGGTTTTAACTTTTGAGATTGATTAGATTTTTTATGATAATTTTTCTTTTTGGGTTTAATATAATATTTATCAATTGATTTAGAAGGGTAATATTTCTTTTTATATTTAGTAGAGTATTTATAAGAAGATTTCTTTTTATTATTTTTACTTCGAGAAAGTGCTACAGGTAGTAACCCATATTGTTCACAGAAGTTACCTAATTCATATTTAGTTTTACGTTTGTTTTTAGCAGCTTTTTGACTAAGTTTCAGATCGATGCACATTTTTAGTCATTCCTTTTGAATTGTGCTAATTATATCACCATAGGTTAAGTGATCATATTCTATAATACTAGTGGGTTGACTAACAACATCACGAATTTTATGGGTAAAAAGACTTGGTAATCCATTAATAAATTTTTCTTTCCAAAATGATTTAGTACAATCATCTCGAACCATTACTCTAGGGGTAAAAACATCTTTATACCATCTAAAATCACTTAGAGTGGGGCAAGTTAAGTTACTGAGTTGATCATGGATACGAGAATGAATATTAGTTGGTGTACCTATCAAATGTTTGACTATGGTATATATTAAAGTATTAATACCATCAGGTATACTAGAACCTATTTCTTCGTCAAAGATAGGAAAACCATTATTATCCATTTAAACAACACGTTGAATAGATTCTCGTTGATCATAAGTGAGATATTTATCTTACCAAGATTTGAGCATACCAGTAAATCCAGTAGTAATTAAAATAACAATTTCAGGTTGAGTATAATCAAGATAATTAGTAAGGTAACTGTTTGCAACCATGGATAAATGACTGAGTTTCTAAAGAATTTGATGTTCACTAGGACCATCTATATTACATTCATATAATTTTTTAGCAGAAACGGAAAATTGATTGCTAATGTTAGTTTCTTCAAATTGGAGATCGGGAAGTATAGGTTTAGTGTACTGATTTTTGGTAAGAATGGTAAGATTAACTTTAGGATGTGTGATTCTATTAAGATGAAAATGTTGAAATTATTGTGCTAATTTAGTGCTTTCATTATCGCTAGACGTATTAGAATGACTGAAATTCTAGAGGAGGTTGTTGTGTTAGAACAGTAATTCCTTTACTTGTAGTAGATGTAGACATTTTATTAAATAATTTTTCAATGACTTCAACTGTAGTATTATCTTGAGTAGCTAAGCTTAATCGCTTTCTAGTACTAGGAAGATTAATAAGAGGTTTATCTAAAAGTTTACTTGTAGAAGTATAACTAGTGAAGTAATCCTCAAAAGTAGTTTCGAGTTTATCTAATTGTTTACCAATAGTTTTTAAACATTGATTGGTATAATTATTTTGTTCAATGACTTTTTTAATTTCAGATTCTTCACCAGGGAGTTTAAAAGGAGAAGCATGAACAATGGTGCCTTTATGTTCAATCAGAATGGTCTCTAAAGGAGGGTGACTACATGAAACAGGCGTGGTAGGGGAAGTTTTCCATTTAGTTTTTGTAATAACGTTTACTTTTTAATAATAATTTTCTAAATAATCAAAGAAATTAATTTCAATATTGATTTCTGTCATAAATTTATACCATTTCTTGGTAATTTTAAATTGTTGTTTTGTATCATAAGTATTCCTATATGTTCCTTTTTGACTTATTTGTCGTAGATTTGAATTCATCATAAAGTTTATTAAGGTCTAGAGTAAAAGGTTTACTTAAAGTTAACAATTGTGGGTTGACAGAAGGAACAACTTCAAAATCAGTTTGAGTAGGTGAATCTTGAGAAATAGTATCTTCTTCTTGAAGATGTGTATGTAGAGTAAACTGGTATACTAATTTGAGAAGTAGAGGAATTATCAATTCCTTTTAATTTACTATGTGTATGATGGGTTTGCGAAGAAGGCTCATAAAGGTGTAGTTTTCTATCTCTTCTAGTAAACAAAGAGGTATTGAAGATTTCATCTTCATCAATTTTAGTAGGTAAACTAATTTGATATATATATATATCCTTTTGATACTATTTTGGAGAACAAAATGATTACTACAACTTTAGAGAGAGTCAAGAGCACACGTTCTTTTGTAAATGGGCATTTTTATTTTTTATTTTTGTGAGACCAACTAATCCAACGATTAAGGATTTAACTTTAATTGATACTTATAATTTACATTCTGCATGAAGTCATTTGGTATTTTTGAAATATCATTGGCGAATGAACAATTTCTAAGATACTTGTGTACGTACAATTTCTCTCTCTCCCATTCTCTTCTTATTAATTATAAAAAAATAAAAATAAAGCCGTTGTTTGGCATGTAAAGTTTTTTGACTTTTTGATTAAATTAACCACTTAAATATAGATTAAAAAATCAATAATATAAAATATCATATCTCAATCATAATCATTTCACTTTTTCCCTCACAAAAATAAAAAATAAAAACTAAAAAACTTACCCAAACAAGCTTTTTAACCCCTGACTAAAATAGTCAAAAAATTAAAAAACCAACCTACTTCCCAAGGCCTTGTTTAGGAACAGATTACTTTAATAACTTTTTGACATTTTATAAAATCAATATAAAAAAATAGAAAGAGTAATATAACAATTTATAATAACGTTTGACTTTATAACTAAAATACTTCGTCTCCAAAATTGTTTTTATCATGGAATATTCAAAGTGAGCCTACGAGAATGAGTCTTCATATTCTAGTAGATCATCAGATGTCATTTGGTTGGTAATGGAAGCAAACCAACATGAATGAATATTGGACCTCAAACTCAATCGCGTGCAGAGTGTATGCATGGGCAATGTATAGATACTTATAGATAATTCTAACCTTGTGCCCTTGATTTTATTTTATTTTATTATTATTATATTTTTTTGGTGTGAGAGAGAAATAAGACTACTCAAAACATTAAATTATGATTTGTTGTATACCTCATTTCTCCATATTCGTCCAAGCCCTTGTTGTCGATCTCAGCCTGAATCTACATTAATGATCTAAATCATCTACTTCGTAAATCTCATAACAAAAATTATTCATGCAAAAAATTAATTTCATCAGACCTCTATAAATGTACAGGGAGCAAATATTCCGCAGAGCCCGTACTCCTTTCTACCAAGCTCCTTGTTTGTCCGATCGACCTGCGAATAAAACGGCGGTGAGCTACCTGACAGTGTGTGGCCGAAAAACCCCTCCGACGGTCAAGTTAGCACACACTCAGGGATAGAGAGAGAGAGAGAGAGAGAGAGAGAGAGAGACTTGAATGTATAGATTTATCTCACCAAATTATGTTCCATCATAGCATGGGGGGCGCAGACACGCTTATATACTTTCTGTGCCCAAATCTGCTCCCATTAGTCTCTTGACACATGGTGATGCCCTCCCATCTGTCAGCACAAACCCTGCAATCACCACATAACCAAACCGTCAAGCTATATTAGCAGAGCTCGGCAGACCGGCGAAACCACCTCGGCCTTTCACGACCGCGTTGCGCAACGTACCCGAGTGCTCCACTCGCCGAGCTCTAGAACGACCGAGCTTGGTTGCATTTCGGCAAAGCTGAGTTCAAGATAGGCCGAGCCAGCAAACCGAAGGCCTTCCTGCCGCGCTAAACGCATGAACCGTGGAATCCAGCGTGGCAGGCAATCATCTCGGCCGAGCAACTCAAGTAGCTCGGTTTTCTACCTAGACAAGCCCAAGTAGCTCGGTCCCAACATGGTCCTGGGCCTCAACCGAGCAAAACCTTATCTGGACTAGCACAAGCTATCACGGCCCAAACATGTTCGGCCCTTCATTTTGCCCGGCCTTTACCATGGCCCATTCCAGCTCATAAATCTCCCTCTCAATTGCCCCTTAATTCCGTCCGCGCAAGCGTGACTGGGATTACATGGTCCGCCCGGGGTAGACTCTCCATCGGTCCCAAGTTTGCAAGATGTTAACCGCGCTAATCTCCATGCCCAGTTTCTGGGCTTGCTCGATCGTTGCCTCAACCTGCCATCTTGTCTCTTCAGAACTGACGCTGCTACCATTATGAACACGCGTCGTGCATTTATTGGCCTCGGGCAGCCAACCCAAGCGTCCCTTCATATTCAAATTTAGGCGCCCTTTCACTCCTATAAGTACGCCATTTCCCCTTCACTTTCTCTTCTTACTGCCTCTCTTTCGTTCTTGACGCCTTTGAGCTACAGTGTTTGACCTCCATTCTTGTTCTTCTTCTTCGTTCGTACTTGAAGAAGTAGCCTCTGCCTCCAAACTGGTAAGTTCTTCCAATCCTCTTTGTTGCTCTTTTTTTTTTATTTGGTATTTCACATTCTAGGGCATAAAGTCCATAGGTTTTAGGATATCCCCGCCCCAAAAAACCCTCTCCTGTCCCTGTTCTTTTCGTTGTTCTTCAATTCCAGTGATGAACACAAGAAGATCTGGAGCGGACCGGGCTCCAGGTCTTCTTTTGATCCCAAAAAACATCAAAACCGAGCAAATTGCAAGTTTGCAAAAACCCCTGTAGAAACTGAGGAAAGCAGAGGACTTGACTGCTCAACTGGGCTAACATCTGGTTCGCTTGAGCGGCTGAGCTCCTATGTTTACCTTCGTGACCGAGATGGTCTGGCACTCTACCTGACCGAGCTAAAGTCAAGCTCGTTTTGCGCGACCGCGCTCCCGCTTACACTTACCCTCCTTTTCCTGCAGAGTCCAAGGGGACCACACACCAACACCGAGCTCTCAAAGACCGAGCAGCCACCAAACCAGAGTTTGTGCCAAACCACCTCAGCCATGCTAAAACCAACCAGCCACACATGGGGCGTTACCGCTTCTTGGTCGACACGCCGGTCGTTTTAGCCGCGTTCCGGGAATAATATGGTATTCCGGACGACGTTCACCTAGAGCTCGGTGCCGAGGACACGACCCCGTGGGACAGATTAGACCAGTGCCCCTTCACCGTGCTTTCTATCATAGAAGGTGGCCTCTGCTTCCCGGTTAACCCGTTGATCTGCGAATTCTTGCGGCGCACCGGGCTAACTCTAACCCAGGTCTCAACCAACACCTACCGCATAATAAACGGAATTGCCGAGCTAAACAATCGGCTAGGCACCAACTTAAGAATGACCGAGATACTTCGCCAGTATACCCTCGGGCATACAGGCGATGGTCTTGCCTATTACTTAAAGAACAGACTGGGCAAGGAGAAAATAGTGACCGATACCCCAGACAAGGACTTACATGACGACGACTTTTTCTGAGTGTCCAATAATTACGAGATAGCCGACGTGCCGGGCTGGTTTATCAGTAAGAATTTCGGCGAAACATGTAAGTCGCGCTAACTGCTCGATTAGATTACTTTCCTTAACCATTTTGTACTAATGTGCTTTGTTCATTTCCTCTTTGCAGCGATCGAAGCTTTGTAAGTCAATTACCATTATCCCAACGAAGCAACCATCAGAACCGTGTTTCGCTACCGCAACTGGGATTGCCACGAACTCCTCAGTTACGTGCCAACCTACAGGTACTCAGCTTCACGCCGGAGTAAGGTTACAGACTTCCTCCGTGCACCATCTCCCCCTCCTGATCCCACATTGCCGGACATGCCACTTATCCAGTTGACCGAGGCAGAAGAGATGGCCAAAAGAAACCGCATCAAAAACCTCCTCACCGCTACCTCCACCGAGCTACCGATCATCCCATCCCGCACAACCGCTGTCGGTCAATCGAGCGGGACCGTAGTTGCATTGGCATCACCTGCCGCCGGGCAGGCAAGCAAAGAAAGCTGCCGGGCTGGGAAAAGGCCACGTACCGACCCCTCTGCCGAGCTAGTTGCAGAGTTGAACACCGAACAACCAGCGGTGACAACTGACCCAACACCGCATGGAAGCCACAGCTCAAGCACCGGGGTAAGGAGATCCCGGCGACTGCCTCGGTCAAAGGTGACAATGAGCATCTACTCGCCTTTGACCTAACCAAAGCCTTGCTGTTACCGAGCGACGTGGTCAGCAACGACCACGTACCGGACACCCAGCTGGTGAAGTCCTCGGTCAAGTCCATGACCCGGGTAAGGACTTTGCGTACTTTGTTCAAATTTTTCCAAGTGCTTGCTTGGTTTCCTTCCTCTGATAAAGTTTTCTTCTTGCAAGCCATCCAGAAACAACACTTGGTGATGGAGAGGATCCACCGACACCGGCAGAAGGCAACCGACACTGCCAGCCAGGTTGAACACCTTCAAGCTGAGCTCGGACGATCCAAGGCTTCGTTGGAGATAGCGAATTCTGACAACTCCAGGTTGCTCGGCCAGCTTGGTGTCGCCGAGCAAGAAAGGGATGTCATCCGGACCGAGCTGAAGGCGTTGAAGCAGTCAAGGAAGGAGGAGCTGGAGGACGCCAACAACGCCGATTTCAAAGAGGCCGAGGAGAAATACACAAAGCAAGTCGATGCCACCCAAGACATCTTCTTCAAGGCGGGTTGGAAGGCTGCTTGTCAACAGCTCGGCCAAGGATCTGGAACTGACGTGTTTGCCTCTCCCCCAGCTGCCTTCCTGCCGACGTACCTTGTGTCATATGCCAACGACATCTTCAGCGCGTTGCAGGCTGAGGCCGAGGAAAAAGAAGCGGAAAACGTCGAGGAAAATGCCAAGGGTGACAACCGCCCCAAAGCAGGCCGGCCAGAAGCAGACTGGTGTCCAAGAGACCACAACCACAATCGACCTGGAGGCGACCGTGACCAGGGATGAATTCACAAAACTTTCCCCCTTAGTTTAGTTTTCTTTATCTTCTTTCTTTTTCGTTTGAAAATGTAACCGGGCTAGTACTCCACCTTTTGTAATGCTATTCCTCATCAATGGAAAATTCTATTTTCGTCAAGTGTTTGCACTGTGTTTAAACTAAACAACTTCAGCCAGGCAAACAACCTCGGCTAGACAAACAATCAACTCGCCCTTGACCAAATTACCAACTTATTCAACCGGAGAAAAACATCTTGGTTGCAATCACAAAGTTGAGTAAAACATCAACTTATTCAACCGGAGTAAAACATCTCGGTTGAAATCTCGAAGTTGAGAAGAACATCAACTTATTCAACTGAAGTAAAAACATCTCGGTTTCAATATCAAAGTTGAGCAAGTCATCAACTCAATCAACCGGAATAAAACATCTGGGTTGGAATCTAAAAGTTGAGTACATCATCAACTCAACCAACTGGACTAGAACATCTTGGTTAGAATCTAAAAGTTGAGTAAATCATCAACTCAACCAACCGGAGTAAAACATATCGGTTTCAATATCAAGTTAAGCAAGTCATCAACTCAATCCACTGGAATAAAACATCTCGGTTGGAATCTAAAAGTTGACTACATCATCAACTCAACCAACCGGACTAGAACATCTCGGTTAGAATCTAAAAGTTAAGAAAATCAACTCAACCAACCGGAGTAAAACATCTCGGTTTCAATATCAAAGTTGAGCAAGTCATCAACTCAATCAACCGGAATAAAGCATCTCGGTTAAAATCACGAAATAAGCATCGAAAACAACAGATTGCTTCAACAAAGGTAAGTCACTTCTATTATATTGACAAAAAGAGTATTACATTCTGAAATATAAGGCAAACAAGTCATTGCTCAAAAGAATAACATAAAAATTATGAAAACTAAAAATAGTACAGTTTGAGGTTGGCTGCATTCTATGGCCGGGGTATGCCTTTGCCGTCCAAATCTTCCAAGTGGTATGTCCCCTTGCCCGCTAAACCGGTTATCCTGTAGGGTCCTTCCCAATTTTCCCCTAGCTTGCCTTCGCCTAGCACCAGGGTATTGCCCATGACCTTTCTTAAAACCCAGTTGCCAACTTTAAACGGGTCTGGGATGCACGGTTTTGTTGTACTTCCTGGACAATTCTTGTTGGTATGCAGCCACGTGAATCAAAACTTTTTCGCGGCGCTCTTCAACAAGGTCCAATTCCAGGGCAATTGCTTCAGAATTCAGCTCGGGCTCAAAATTTTCACTGCGGATGGCGGGCATGCCAATTTTCAATGGGATGACCGCCTCCATGTCGTACGCCAGGGCAAAAGGAGTTTCCCCGGTAGATCGCCTCGGGGTCGTCTGGTATGCCTAGAGAACTATGGTAGTTCCTCGGCCCATTTTCCTTTGGCCTTCTCAAGTCTTTTCTTCAACCCGTCAAGAATGGTCTTATTTGATGCTTCGGCTTGGCCGTTGGACTGCGGGTAAGCCGGGGTGGAGTTTTGGAATTCAATCTTCAAGTCCTCACAAAACCCTCTGAATAAGCAGTCGCCAAATTGGGTGCCATTATCAGAGATCAGAATCTTGGGGACGCCAAACCGCGTTACCACATTCTGCTAGACAAACCGCTTGATGTCCTTCTCCTTGATAGTTGCTAGGGGCTCAGCTTCAACCCACTTGATAAAGTAATCTGTAGCGGCAATGAAGAACTTCCGGTTGCCCGGTGCCGTTGGGAGTGGTCCCACTATGTCTAGTCCCCACATCGCAAAAGGCCAAGGGCTTGTGAGGGAAAGGAGTTCCCTGGCCGGTTGGTGAATTTGGTGGGCGAGTTTCTGGCACTTCTCACATTTGCGAACATATTTTTGAGCGTCCGCTTGCATGCACGGCCACCAATATCCCTACGAGATAGCGCGCTAGGCCAAAGATCTGCCCCTACGTGACTGCTGCATATGCCTTCGTGAATTTCGTACAGGAAAGCTTCCACGCAGTTTGGGTGTACACACTTGAGATAAGGACCGATGAAAGACTTCTTGTATAAAACGCCAGATGGAGAGCTAAAACCGCTCTGACTTCACCCGGACTTTATGCGCTTCCTTTTTATCGGCCGGAAGTGTCCGCTCTTTCAGGAAGAGGATAATAGGGTCCATCCAAAAAGGGCCAAGCTCAGTGCAGAGTACTTCTGTCTGTTTCGGTTCCTATACTAGGCCTTGGAAGAAACTCAATCAGGAGAGGATTGGGAGAGGTTCGGTCAACCATGGAAGCCAGACCGGCCAGCTCATCCCCGCGGCCGTTGTCTTCCCGTCCAATTTGTTGGACCCTGATCGCCGGGAATCGCTTGATGTGGTCCCTTACCAAAGCTTGGTACTTTGCCATTCTGTCATCCTTAGCTTCGTAAACCCCAGATACTTGGTTGACAACTAGATGAGAATCGCTGTAGACCATCAGCTTAGACGCGCGCACCTGGAGCGCGCTCTTAAGTCCGGCCAGTAGCGCCTCGTACTCGACCTCGTTGTTTGATGCAGGGAATCCGAGGGTGATAGAATGCTCAATGGTCAAACCATCTGGCGAGACCAAGACTATGCCTAGCCCGGCACCGTGACGATTCGAGGCCCCA